GCAGCATTCCATTAGAGAAACGGATTTGGTCTACTTGTCAAAACACATCAGTGCACGAGGATTCGACTTGTCCCAGAACCTAAACACTCGCACGAAATGAACCGCGTCTGAGAACAACCAAACCAATCCGATGACCTGCAGTCCAATCCGAAAACTCGCCACTTCCTATGTGCCATGTGTCACGGACACAAAATTTGAAAGGTAATTCTACATCACCTAGGGTTTGAAGCCGGCCACTTCCTATGCGTCTGCCCTGCGCGTGGGGGCACATGAAGTCCCTATTCTCACCCATTTTTTTCTCGATTACAAGTTTTACACCTCAGTTTCAATGCTAAGGTTGTTTTATTGTGAAGTAGGTGCCAGTAAAGGAATTTGGTAATTTTTGGACTCCTCTATGACCAATCAACCATGACTTGGGAAGGCACACGTCAGACAAGTATGTCACCATTTGGATCCTCACGAGCAGTACTTGAAAGAAATTCTTGGAATAAGCATGTGTGTTGTCAAATTGATAATCCTAGCTAGCCAGACCTAGCATATTAGGATGTAAGCAATGAAAATTAACTGTACCTAGATATGATTGACTATGTATTCATTTTAGAATGAGAATGTGATACTATATGCATGATCAAGAAGGAAGGGAAATTTGTGAAATTTTCTCTTTGGGTGAAGATGGACTTTATCTTCCTGTCGAGCATGCTTGTTAATATTGTATGAACTGCTGCATGTTAATTCTAGTACATGATTGCTTGTGTTGTCTTCCTTATTGAAAATAGGAAGAAACTACGAGTCTAGACTAGGGTGTTTGAGACTAAGTAGGCTAGATAAAGAACATCGTGCATTCAGGCTTGCAAAACGATGATTAACAGACACAGACCCCAGTATTCCAAACCACGACAGGTTTGAGAGTCCTTGCACGAGAATTCTAGAGATGAATGAGTCCAAGTCTATGTCACCAAGATTTGCCATAGAAAGACCTATTAAGACACATTGGCAACTTTAGACAATAGAGGTAGCTCGCTAGACTTGAGTACCCTGGATAGTGTTAAAGATATTTAGTAATAAATTATAGTTTACCATATATATCATATTTGATATTTTATTATAAAGCAAATATCTAGATATTTGCCTCCTTACCATAGGTATCTTTCCATTTCCAGTTATTATTATTTTCATTTATTACTCTTTCCATATCCTTTTAATTTATTTGATTATAAATAAGATAACTTTGACACCATTTAGGTGTGGTGGATTAATCAAACATTCTTATGGCATCAGAACCCTTTCGGTTTAGCAAACCCGATCCCTTATTTTCAATGGCTTCTAAATTCCCTACTCATCTTCTTCTCCACCACCCCTACTGGCTTTGACGCCGCAGGGGCAGTCTCCATGACTGTCACATGCAGAGCCTATTGATTACTCTTCAGCTCCACCCTTTTGACCTCCAAATCACCCTTCACCATACTTTGTACATACGACCTCATCTTTTCCAACACAATTGATTTCCCCTCAACAGCATAGTCTCTTTCATTTTCTTCCTAATCTTCCCTTCATCCTTCACAGAAACCCTAACCTAAACCTATCAACCTTATGCAGAGATTTACCTTGGGAATCTGGGCTCCGCACTGGCCTCTTCACCAACCAAGTCGCCATCGCCCTTCTAGCCAAAATTGGCTCCTTCACCCATTGTGGCGACTCTTCTGGCTTCAACATTGTCTTTGTCCCTTGCTCTAGGTTTCCCCTTCTACTTCTTGGGTTGGCATATTCTCACTAGAGCCAAGGTAGCATCGTCGGTAAGCAACGATTCCTCTTCATGGGTTAGACATATTCTCGCCGAAGCCAAGGTAGCATCGCCGCTGAGCGTCGATCCCTCTGCAGTTTTGATGGCCAAGAAAGTGTTTCTCTACGCCTCCTCCGAACCAGGTTGTTGACATCTTCACGAAAAGTGTTTCTCAATCTTTATTTGAATTTTTCAGATCTAAGCTTCACGTTCGTTCAAATCCGATGCTCAGCTTGCGGTTGGGTGTTAAGGATATTTAGTAATAAATTATAGTTTACCGTATATATCATATTTGATATTTTATTATAAGGAAAATATCTAATTATTTGTCTTCTTACCATAGGTATCTTTCCATTTCCATTTATTGTTATTTTGATTTCTTACTCTTTCCATATCCTTGTAATTTATTTGATTATAAATAAGATAACTTTGACACCATTTAGGTGTGGTGGATTAATCAAACATTCTTAGATAGTGTCACCAAAGCCTCTACTTTCCTCGCTACTTCGATACTGTACCGTCAAGACTGAACTCCATTACTGAAATCGTTGAGCTAGGCAGAGCTGAATAGGTTAGTGTGATTTGTGCCCTGACCTAATGGTGATAGCTAAGGGGTCTCCTTAATAGGACCTATGATCTGTAGAAACCCGTTGCTGAGCGAGATAGTGCGAGACCACGTAGGATGACTTAGTAGCTAACCGATACACAGGGAATCACGAACTCTCGATTTTAGTGATAGTATGGTCCCGTGGAAGGGTTGTCAGCTAACCTCCACGGATGATGTTCAGAGAATGATACTGATTCAGATCCAACCATACTGTCCCCTAAGTTTTACTTGTGAGGTCCTGCCAAATTCCATGACACTGATCATCCATTGATAAGATGGGCAAGCCTCTTAAGTTGTAGAAAAGAGAGTTGCAATTTAGTCTGCACTTCCTAGAACCCTAAGACAAGTTCGTGGATACCTACTAAGATAAAGATGAAAAGAGCCTACAAATAGGTTGCTTACTGAGTATTCTCATACTCATCCCTTTCTACTCTTCTTTTTTATGTGTGTGATTCCATGGATCGAGGCGGGAGAGCGTGCAGGAGTCTTAAAGCCACAGAGGTGTGTCCTGGGGCATTTAGAAGTCTATGTATGTCATGCATAGTTACTTCACACATTTTGTACCCCACATACTTTTTCATGAAATTCATACACTACTTGAACATTTTGTTTTGATTGTTATTCTGCTTCTTAATTGCTAAATTTTTTTTTCGTAATTTCTTATTGTCTATCTCTTTTTACATGTTTTTGTTGCATAGTCGGTTAGTCTGGCCCTTCATTTCAAATGATACCACTCCTTGTGCGCCACATGTCACGCCCATAAAATTCAACGGGTATATCTGCTCTGCTGGGTATCAAAGCGCACCACTGTCAACACTAATCGCGCGTGTGCCCTCGTATGGAGGTGCGTGCCAATGCATGGGGAAGCATGGGGGCGCGTAAAGCCCCTATTCTCACCCGTCTTATAATCGATTGCCAGTTTTTTGCCCCAATTTCAATGCTAATGTTTTTTTACTGTGAATTAGGTGCCTGTAGAGAAATTTTGTAATTTTTGGACTACTCTACGACTAATCAACCAAAACTTAGGAAGGCACATGCTAGACAAGTAAGTCACCATTTGGATTCCCACGAGCATTACTTGTAGGAAACACTTGGAATAAGCGTGCATGCTGTCAAACTGATAATCTTAGCTAGCTAGACCTAGCATATTAGTATGTAAGCCATGAAAATGAATTAAATAAGAAAATCAATGGTACCAAGATATGATTGGCTATGAATTCACTTTTTAATGAGAATGTGATATTGTATGCATGATAAAGAAGGAAGAGAAATTTGTGAAATCTACGCTCTGGGTAAAGATGTACATTATCTTCCGGTCGAGCATGTTTGTTAATATTGCATGAACTACAAAATGTTAACTCCTGTGCATGATTGCTTGTGTTGTCTCTCTTGTTAAAAATAGGAAGAAACTACGAGCCTAGACTAGGACGCTTGAGACTAAGTAGGCTAGACAAAGACCTAGAACGGGATACCTCTAGAATACCGAGTATTCAGGTCCCCAAAGACATTTTATGATGTCCCCAAACATCACAATGTATCAGATCAAAGGCAGAATGTGTTGTTATTGAGCTTCTTGGAAAAAGACAACCTAGTTTGTTTTGCTAATGGGCATATAGTACAATTATGAGAAAAAGGTAGCATTATCAAGATGCAATTGATCAACTGGAAATTTAAAACGATAAAATGAAGGATGACCTAGGCATAGGAACCACAAATTAGATGATTGAGATACTTGATTTGTTGAAGGTTTGATTGGAGATAAATAAATATGATAGAAATCTCCAAATCATTTATCCGAGCCGATCATCTTCCCCGTAGTCAAGTCCTGCATAACAAAAATATGGATAGAAGGTGATGCAACATTTCAAGTCATTGGTAAGTTTGCTGATGGACATCAGGTTTAAATGTAATAAAAGCATGCATAAAACATTGTTTGATTTAAAGACAGGATTAAAGAAAACATTGCTAGTATGTGACACATGTATTGCCCTCCATTAACCAAATTTATTGTAGACATGATTGCAACCTTTGGTTTAGTCATAACAAAAACTTTGGATATTATATGATCCGTAGCTCCACTATCGAGAATCCATGAATTAGAACTAGCAGAGTTAATGGATACTGTAGATACTGGAAACAAAACTGCAATATAGATGTAACGGTGATTATTACCTGAAGACGATGATTGAGTGCAGATAAAGCTTGTGCTATCTGTTGTAATCGCTCATAAATGAAATTTGGAATGGAATTAAGTGACTGTTTTTCTATATTCAGTTGAGAAGTATCAATTATATTTGCAGATGATCGATATCTACGATTGATGCATTGATTGACTTGTATTGCTCTGATACCATGTTATGAATGAGAGATATAAGTGAGATTGAAAGTACAATTTTCATTAATGTTCTTTTAATAGGATACGTCTATCCATTAACTTGTGAAAATAAGGAAAAAATATATTGAGAGAAAATATATTATTAATTTACTCCTAAAAATAAGGAGGAAAATATTAATTGATTTATGGATATGTAAGATATATCTATAACTGTAATATATTTATAATAATATATAAATGTATGTTATTAATATTTGAAAGACAAATAAAAAGCACACTTTTGAACATTACGTGCGACACAAACTTCACAGGTAATTAAGGTAAGAAAAGGAAGTAGTTTATGACGTATCCAACTGCAGTTATATCCGCTCCCAAATCCAGCCATGAAAATTAGGTAGATTTGTTGCTTAAAAATTTGGAAGGAATCTCAAAAAATATGGTGAGGAAACCCATGGGAAGCAACTTCCAAAGGAATTGTAGACTCTTCTGAACATTTCTCTCCAGCTCCAGCAACAGCGGCAACTTCATTACTATAAAAATGATTATTGGAACAAGTGTGACCAAATACAAAAGGCACTCCGCCCATACCATGTTGGTCGATTTCATTGTGAGGACGACGGCCATAGCGAATGCAATCATCGTGCTCGCCACCGACAAGAACAACAGATTCAATCCCAAGGACAATTGAATTGGCAATTCTTGTCGAAAAGAATCGATCTCAAAAGGCGAGGTCAAGATCAAGAGAAACAGAATCAAGGAGGAGAGCAATGAGATGAGGGAGGTGATGTCCAAGCCGGTGAACAACATGTAGATAGGGTTAGAGAGGAGAACCGGAGAGCCAGTTTTGGAGTTGAGTCCACCAGGGACAGTGAAGGCAGCGGCGAAGGTGACCGAGGCCATGAGGACAGCAACAGCAGAGCAAGACTGGGAGGTTTTCTTGACCCATTCTTTGGCTTTATCAATCAAATCCTTCCCGGGGTCTCCATTTATTCTTGCTATAATGCATGTTGTAAAGCACTGGAAGCACTTTGTGGACGCGATCGAACCACTCGAGCTCATGTTGAAGCTGTATTGCTGGACCATGGGTGGATGGATTGATGGAGGAATTTAGTGATTCCAACGTGGTGCAGTATTGTGGAGCCCAACACATCGATCCTGGAGAGCCGTCTGCTTGTTTGGATCCTTCATCTCCAACAGTGACTTGTCGAAATCCACCAACATCATAACCATCTCTGCAATAAAAACTTTGAATTAGCTTCAATTATGGTAACATAAACTGAGACACTAACCAAAGTTCTCGCTTTGAATGGCTGCATGAATGATTGGAGTACCCTTTGCCGTCCAGTTTAGGGAAGATCGAGCGTAAAAATCTTCACAATCATTCAAAATATATTGAACGATGTCAAGTTTCCCATATCTGGCTGCCCTATACAAAGGCGTTTCACCCCAAATGTTCACCTCCAACAAATCCTCCTTCCTTAACTCAACCAAGAGCTTAACAGCACCCAAATTCCCTACACTGGCAGCTTCATGTAGAGGTGTGTTTTCAACGTAGCTCTTCCAATGCTCTGTGTACTCCATCTCCATCACCTGCGCAAGAAAGGTTTTTAAAGGTTCTTCTTTTCCACTGTGCACTGCCAAATGCAACGCCGTGTCTCCACCGTTATTGATCGGAAGCACGAACTGCCTCGCATCCTTACATACCTCGCCCACATACTCCCATTGTTCCCTCAACGCAAACTTGTATAACGCTTTTTTCTCTTTGTACAAATCCATATCTTCTTTGGGTTTTAGTTTCTTATTTTGTTTGCCATCGCTAACCCAAATCTATTTTATATATAACTTATATCTCTTTCTTTCTTTTCTTGTTCCGGTCATAAAGTTTGTATTCTTTTTCTTTAATCGCTTTGATAATCATGTAACATAATAAAGTAAAAGTAAGCACAGTTGTTTCCATTTCTTATACAGAATTTGTTCCTTCTTCAAACCCGTTTGTCTTCGCTTCTTCTTCCACACTACTCCCTACAACTTTTATTGCCTTGAATATTAAAACTTCTCCTATAGTATCAAAACAAAATGTTCAAGAAAGGATGAATTTCATGAAAAAGGATTTGGGTACAAAATGTGTAAAGTAACTGTTGGAAATAAATTTAAATGAGAGAAAAAGAAGGGAAAGAAACGTTATTAATTTTTTGTTTTAAAATTTAGTCAAAAGCCCATAAGCATTAAAATAGGGGACAAAAAGAAGCAAAAAGAGAAAAAGAGCCCGAATTAAAAGTATAGTGTAATAGAAAAACGCTTTTTAGAATTCTTTGTCTCCTTGTCTCTTTCCTCTCGACACCTCTTCACACAGCTTCGTGAGAGTTATTTAAACGAGTTGATTTCAGAGCGAGCGTCTATTTTCTACAAGTTGATATCGGAGCGTATTCTAATTTCAACAAATTAGTATCAGAGCGTGATTTTAATTTTACAAATTGGTATTAGAGAAAATTTATTTTCAATAGTAACTATGCATGATATGTACAAACTCCTAGATGCCCTGGGACACTCCTTTGTGGCTTTAATACTCCTGCACGCGCTCCCGTCTCGATCTATGGCATCACTCACCTGAAAAAAGACATTAGAAAGGGATGAGTATAAGAATACTCTGTATACAACCTACTTGTAGGCTCTGTTAAAGATCACATATTTGTTTTGATTGTTGTTAGTTAGTATCTGATTAAATTTTCTTCTAGTTTTGATTTGATTTAGTTTTTGATTTGTTTACTGGTTTTTACCATCTTTTCTGCAGATTTTTAGATAGACTTTTTAATATCTTTTTATATTCTTTGTATATATAGAGAGCATTCTGCAATTTTCTCATCAACCATTCAATCACTCACTCTTTCACTAACAAATTGGTATCAGAGCCGTCTTCTGAAGGGATATGCGAGATCAAGATGGAAGGAGAATCTAATTTTTCAACTGTTGCACCACCAATCTTGGATGGAGATAATTATCAAATGTGAGTAGTTCGTATGGAGACTTATTTGGAGGCCTTGGATCTTTGGGAAACAATAGAAGAGGATTATAAGGTCCCACCACTTTCTACAAATCCTAGTGTAATACAAATCAAAGTATAGAAGGACAAGAAGACAAGAAAGTCAAAGGCAAAAGCTTGCCTATTTGCCGTTGTATCTCAAATGAACTTCATACGAATAATGTCCCTTAAAACAGCAAAAGAAATCTGGGATTATCTCAAAGCTGAATATGAAGAAGATGAGAGGATTCGTGGAATGAAAGTCCTGAATTTGATTAGGGATTTCAAGTTGCAGAAGATGAAGGAGTCTGAGTCGGTGAAAGAGTACTCTGACAGAATTATCAGTATTGCCAACAAGGTGAGATTGCTTGGTTATATGTTAAATGATTCTAGGATCGTTGAAAAACTACTAGTCATTGTTTCAGAGAAGTTTGAAGCCACCATTATTACTATGGGGAACACTAAAGACCTGTCAAAGATTTCTCTTACAGAGCTCTTGAACGCTTTACAAGCACAAGAGTAAAGGAGGTCTATGAGGCAAGAAAGGGTGATTGAAGGTGCCTTACATGTCAAGCATCAAGACAACAGCAGGTATGAAAACAAGAAAAATTTAAAAAACCAATCGACGAATGGAGATTCATCTACCAATTATCAGAAGACAAAAGGAGGAGGTTCCAAAAAATCCTATCCACAATGCCGCTATTGTGAGAAGAAAGGTCATCCACCATACAAGTGCTGGAGAAGACATGACGTCTTCTGCTCCAAATGCAATCAACTTGGACATAAAGCTGTGATTTGCAAAGTCAAAGATCAGGTGAAAGAAGTAGATGCACAGGTAGCTGATCAAGAAGAAGAAGATCATTTGTTTACGGTCACTTGTTCCTCAGGCAAACAATCAAGTGAGAGTTGGTTGATTGACAGTGGGTGCACAAATCACACGACATATGACAAGGATTTTTTTGAGGAATTAAGAGACACTAAAGTCAAGAGAGTGAGGATTGGCAATGGAGAACATTTAGAAGTCAAGGGAAAAGGCACAGTAGCTATAACAAGCTATGAAGGTAAAAAATTTATTCTAGATGTTTTATTTCTACCTAAAATTGATCAAAATCTCTTAAGCGTTGGTTAGTTACTTGATAAAGGCTATAAAATTTTGTTTGAGAATAAGTAGTGCTTGATTAGAGATGCTAGTGGCAAAGACTTGTTCAATGTCAAAATGAAAGGAAAAAGCTTTGCTCTAAATCCGACGGTCAAAGTGTTATTTGCGAATAAGCAGTGCTTGATTAAAGATGCTAGTGGCAAAGACTTGTTCAATGTCAAAATGAAACGAAAAAGTTTTACTGTAAATCCGACGACCTTTATATCTAGAGTTAGTGCCACTAAGATTTGGCACAAAAGACTTGGGCACTTTTATCATTGAGGTTTGCTTTAGATGCAGTCAAAGAAGCTGGTAGAAGAACTCGCTGACATTGATGATGACATGCCTCCTTGTCGTGCTTGTATTTTGGGAAGCAACATAGGCAACCATTTCTTAAACAGGCTTGGAGAGCCTCGAAAAAGCTGTAGCTGGTTCATATTGAATTTTGTGGTCCTCAGCGAACACCATCATTAAATGGTAATCTTTATTACGTTGTTTTTATTGATGATCTAATAAGAATGTGTTGGATCTTCTTACTGAAGAAAAAATTAGTAGTTGTGGGTGTATTTTGGAAATTCAAAGCTAGAGTTGAGAATGAAAGTGCATGCTTGATTAAGACTATAAAATTAGATAATGGCAAGGAGTACACTTCAGAAACTTTTAATAGGTTTTGTGAAGAGGCTGGAATTGAACATCAATTGACAGCACCATACACTACTCAACAGAATGACGTTAGTGAAAGAAGGAATAGATTTATAATGAAGATGACGAGATGCATGCTTCATGAGAATGATCTTCCAAAACATTTTTGGGGAAAAGTAGCAAACACGGTTGTGTGCTTGCAAAATCAAATTTCAACAAAAGTTGTAAAGGACCTGATACCATTTGAAGTTTGGTATGATTACAAACCTTCTTTAAAGTTCCTTAGAATGTAAGTGAAGCAAAGACACCCAAATACTCTAAGCGTGATAAGCTTGACAAAAAGGCAAAAGCTGGCATCTTTGTGGGGTATAGCATTATATCAAAAGCTTATAGAGTTTTTCAATCACATATTAGTCGTGTTATTATGAGTCGAGATGTTCATTTTTGCTGGAAATGAGCAATGGAATTGGGAAAAATTGACGAAGGTGAATTAGATTTCTCTGCACCAAACAATTTAATCTTTGGTAACATGTTAGAAGACTCTTAAGATAAATGACTAGAAGAGTCTGAAGATGAATGACAAGAAGAGTCTGAAGATGAACGACAAGATGGTTTGGTTGATGATGCACCTGTCAGAGGAGGAGCTTTTGGTGATCGAGAAAAACAAAACATAGGAGTTGGTTGATTGACCTTTAAACAGAAAGATAATTGGAGAAAGATGGGTGTTTAGAAAAAGGCTTGGAGTTCACAACATCTAAACAATGAGAAGTGTTAAAGATCACGTATTTGTTTAGATTGTTGTCAGTTGGTATCTGATTAAATCTTCTTATAGTTAGAAGTTGATTTAGTTTTTTATTTGTTTACTGGTTTGTTACCCGATTTTCTACAAATTTTTAGATAGATTTTTTAATATCTTTTTATATTCTTTATAGATATATAGAGCCTTCTGGCTCTTCATAATACAATCTTCTCATCAACCATTCAATCATTCACTCTTTCACTAACAGGCTCTTTTCTCATCCTTATCAATTCCGATTCTTTCTTTTTCTATTGATTCTTTTCCGATCGAGATGTATGGATCCATGGGCCTATGTGTCTATATAGATCCTGTTCATGGATTAACGAAAATGTGCAAAAGCTCTATTTGCCTCTGCCATTCTATGAGTCTCTTCCTTTTTACGTATGGCATCGCCACTCCGTTTGGCAGCATCCACTAATTCGGAACTTAATTTGAAAGCCATATCTTAATAAGTATTCACGACCTTGTCTCGGAGTTCTAGGAAGTGCGGACTAAGTTGCAACTCTATTTTTTTACAAATTTTGAGGCTTGCCTATCTGATGTAGTGGATGAATAGTGTCTTTGGATGAGGCGCAACCTCATAAGTAAAACTAAGGGAACAATATGGCTGGATCTAAACCAGTATTACTCTCTGAACATCCTTAGACGTTAGTTGACAACCCTCCCACGGGACCATATTACCACTAAAATCGAGAGGTTGTGGTCCCCTGCGTGCCGATAAGCTACTAAGTCATCCTACTTTGTCCCATGCTCCCCCGCACAGGGATAGGTTTCTACGGCTTAGGGGTCTTGTTCAGGAGACCCCTTAGTTATCACCAATAGGTTGGGGCACAAATTACACTACCATGTCTAGCTCTGCCTAGCTCATCAATCTCAATATCGGTGTTCAGTCTCGACAGTACGGTATCAGAGCAGAGAGGGAAATGGAGGCTCTGGTGGCACTATTCACGTTGCACAAGTCTGGTGGGCTACCTCGGTTGTCTACAGTTACTATTGTTTCCTACCAGGTCTTTTTAGGGGTGGATCATGGTTGCTTAGACTTGGACTCATTCATCTTTATGATTCTCGTGCAAGGACTCTCAAACCTATTGTGGTCTGGAATACTGGGGTCAGAGTCTGCTGGTCATCATTTTGCAGGCCTGAATGCACGATATTTTAGAGGTATCTCGTTCTAGGTCTTTGTCTAGCTTACATTGTCTTAAGGGCCATAGTCTAGGCTCACAGTTTCTTCCTATTCACAACAAGAAAGACAACACAAGCAATCATAGGCTCGCAGTTCATGCAATATTAACAAACATGCTCGATGGGAAGATAACATCCATTTTCACATAGAGCACAAACTTCACAAATTTCCCTCCCTTCTTTATCATGCATACAATACCACATTCTCATTCTAAAGTGAATCATATCCAATCCTATATAGGTATCATTGATTTTCTTATTTAGTTAATTTTCATGGCTTACATACTATTATGTTAGGTCTAGTTAGCTAGGATAATCAGTTTGACAACATGCATGCTTATTCTGTTTCCTACAAGTACTGCGCGTGGAAATCTAAATGGTGGCTTACTTGTCTGACGCGTGCCTTCCCAAATTTTGGTTGATTAGTCGTAGAGGAGTTAAAATTACCAATTTTCTCTATAGGCACCTAAGTCACAATAAAACAACATTAACATTGAAATCGGGGTGCAGAATTGGCAATCGAGCAAAAAAGGGGTGAGAATAGGGGCTTTACGTGCCCCCACGCTCTCCTACACGCTTGCACGCACCCCCATGTGTTGGACTCAAGCGGGCAGTGTGAGGGCAATGGTGCACTTTGAATCTTAGCAGACGCAGACTTGCCCTTTAAAGTTTGTGGTTGTGACACGTGGCGCACAAGGAGTGGTGAGTCATCGAGTTGGACCATAGGTTGGTTTGGTGGTTCTCGGATGTAGTTCGTTTTGCATGAGGGTTACGTTTCCAGGTCGACCGAGTCCTCGCGCATTGAAGCATTTCGACACGTAGGCCAAACACGTTTCTCTAATGGAACACTACCACGTGTCGTTCGTCAGCTCCGCCACGCCCCTCCATACGTTGGGCGAAGTGTGGCGATTATTTTCTCTCTCCTACATGTTTCCAAAGTTCGAGAATGTTAGCTTCTTCGCTTTTTCAATCTATTTTCTTCCGTTTTTCTTAACTTAATGCACATAACTTGGATCGACATGTTTTCTTGCCTACCTCCTCCTAGAATATTGGGGTTTTGCACCTCCGTCCATACAAAGCTTCGAATGGTGTTATCTGAATAAATATTTATTGTTGTAGGCGAATTCCATAAGGGTCGGGTGCTCAACCCAGCAACTTGTAAAGTCTATAACATGCCCTCAACATATCCTCCAGGGTCTTATTAAACCTCTCTGTCTACCCATCTGTCTGAGAATGAAACGTAGTACTAAACTTGAGTTGCGTTCCTATCACTTTTTCAAAAATTTTCAAGAAATTAAAAGTAAAATTAGCATCTCAATCTGACACAATGGACATTGGTACGCTGTGCAAGCAGACTTTCACTTTTACGTATAATTTGGCCCATTAGTCTACTTGATAAGTGGTCTTACTTGGAATCAAATGGGTTATCTTGGTCAATCTATCAATAGTGACCCAGATGACATTGAAACTGTCTTTTTTTTAAATTTATTTTGCTTCGTAAGTTTATGGTTAAAAATAGTTGTTTTGTATTTAGTTGATTTTTGTTATTCATTTCTCCCTAAAAAGAATGCCATCATACGCTTAATGACTTGAGAACTTATATTTACCTGAGTTGTGTATCCTAGCTTAATTTACAAATAATTTACATCCAAATTAACGTATTAATGTACATACACACAACTCCATATTCATCAATAATTTTGATGAAAGTGGAAAAAGTAGAAAACAAAATAATAAAGAAAGATAAAAATTAAAGAAACAAAAATGGTGAGGAACAAACGGTTTTGACAAAGTCTTTTCCGTGTACGAATCTTGATTCCAGTACGTCAGATTCATGACTTTGAAATTTTTTAATTTTGAGTACTCAGCTTTTTGAAGGATCATCACGCTCAGAATATGAGTAATTTCGACGGAATTTGTGTCGACTAAAATGAATTCATAAAACCTTCTGATCTTATGAAGATCTTCCAGGATATAAAAGAATCCTATCGGATAAGCTTTCTTGACGACCTCGCTGATCTTTGGGTCGTCGTATTTTGGTTCTACCAGAGCTTCTGGTATGGACACAGATTTTTGAAAGTAGGTCCTAATTTCAGGAACTGGAGAAAATCGAACGGGAACAATCGCATCCGAGTAGGTTGAGGGGACAGAAGGTCCCTTTGAAGTGGAAGAGACAGTGGGTCTCGATGGAGTAACGACAGATGACCGTGTTAAAGAGGCAGAAGGCCTCGTTGGAGTGATAACCTCTACTTGTTTTTTAGAAAGTCTCGCTTTAGACTTGGTCACCAATGTGAAACATGTGTCCATCGCATAGCTGTCGGAAGTCATTAGAGTAGGAGTGTTAGAAGAAGCAATGGGCTTCTTCCCTTTTTCCACCGTTTTCTTTCCAGTCATTGCAGGGTGAAGGAGATCGGTTAGGGAGTAGGTTTCTTCGAGAGTAAGAACCCTCTTGAGAGGTAGTCTGCCAAGGGGTTTTCGACCCCTTTTATAGGCAAAATTTGAAAGTTGAAGAAAGATAAAATTGCTTGTCATCATGCAAAAATTTGTTTAGATACAAGATTCTTGACATCCTTTTCTAAAACAAATTTAGATGCCTTAGAATCTGTTTTGATAACAAAGCTTTTGTTAATTAAATCGATTTGAAATTTCTATACACAAAGTACTATTGAAGTATTTACTTTTTTACTGTTGAGTAATTCTTTTGAGTAGAATTCCATATTCCCGAATGAAAACGGACAAGGGATTCTTTCTTGTCAAGGAACTGTTTTAGGATTCCTCCATATCCAATATCGGATGCGTCGGTCTCCACTATGAAACTAGCCCTCGAGTTTATCAGAGATAAACACGGAATTGATTTGACAAGGGATTTGATATTTTGGACTATTTTGGTGTGTTATTCAGTCCAGGGCTTGGGATTCTTTTTGAGCCTTTCAAAAAGTGGCTTGCAAATGAGTTTGATATTTTGAAGGAAATTAGTCACATAATTAAGACATCCCAAAAATATTTGGAGTTGTGTCTTATCCATGATTTGGTTCGAAAAATTTGAGGCAAACTCAATGGACCTTTGGATGGGTTTAATTAAACCCAAATGAATTTCAAATCCAAGAAAGCGGATCTTTGTTTGAAAAAGTTTAATTTTTGGTTTAGACACAACTAAACCGTTTCTTTTGACTGTCGTAAAAAATGTTTGAAGATGCTTAAAATGTTGATCAATGTTTTGAGAGAAAATTAGAACATCGTCAATATAAACAATTGAAAACTCTTGAAAATAATTGAAAATATCATTCATAATTTTTTAAAATTCGGATGGAGCGTTTTTTAGCCCAAATGGCATAACGTTCCATTCATACTGTTCGAAAGGGACATTGAAAGCCGTTTTGTACTTGTCTTTTTCCGAAATCTGGATTTGCCAAAATCCTGATTTCATATCAAATTTTGAAAATATTTTGGCATTTGAAATTCTTTGTATTAAATATGATTTATTTGGAATCGGATATCTAATCCATTCCAAAATCTTATTTAAGGGTTTATAGTTTATTACCAATCGCGGGACTCCACGTTTCTTTTCTTCTTGATTGTTGACGTAGAAAGCCGCGCATGACCAGGGACTCTTTGATGGCCTAATAAGACCCTTCTGCAAAAGATCATCAATTTCTGCTTTGCAGAATGTTAGCAATTTTTTATTCATTTGAATAGGTTGGGCCTTCGTATGGATATTTTTCTCCTCGAAGTTTTTGTCATAAGGAATATTAACTATATGTTGCTTCCTATTCCAAAAAGCATTAGGGATAGTTGAACAAATTTCCCTTTCTATTTGGACTTGTAATGTTTTGATTTTAGACTGGACAGTTTTACTTTGAAGTTCTTCTATTCTTTTGAATGAAATCTCTTCTCTCATAAAAAGAGATTTGTTTTTCTTTGTAATTTAATACATTTATAGATTGAATAATTGTATTCTTTTGAAAGTTATTGTCACAGCCCAAAATTTAAATCCCGAAATCAAGGGTTGGACCAACAAACTATGCAATGAAATCGTTAAAAGCATATAGAGAAGATGAGATTACAAAAAAAAAAAAAAAAACTTTAGCAATTATATAAAAGGTTTGAAATCCGAAACAAGCTGTTCAAACATGAAAAGTATGGAAACTGTTCACAAAATAATGCATGACAAATCTAAACAAAATTATGCACAGACTCCTAGACACCTTGGGACACTCCTATGTTGCATTAAGATTCAACATGCATTCTCGCCTCGATCCATGACATGACTCACCTGAAAAAAAAAAAAAAAGTAGAAAAGAATGAGTATAAAAATACTCAATAAGCAGCCTACTTGTAGGCTCTTTTCGCATCCTTATCTTGGTAGCTAACCACGGTCTTTCTCGGGTTTCTAAGGAGTGTGATCTAAGCTGCAACTCTTTTTTTTGTATCTTAGGAGGCTTGCCCATCTCAAGCAGTGAAATGATTGGTGTTCTGAGGTGAGGCACGACCTCATAAGTCAATATGAGGGGATTGTATGACTAGATCTGAAAACGTGATTCCCTCTAAACATCATCCATGGAGGTTAGCTGACGACCCTCACACAGGACAATACATCCACTAAACAGGGTGCGACCCCCTATGTGCCGGTCAGCTACTGAGTCATCCTATGTGGCTCCACGTCCCCCACTCAGGGACGGGTTTCTACGACCTAGGAGTTCTGTTTAGAAGACCCCTTGGCTATCACCACTAAGTCTGTGCACTTGTTACACTTCCCTATCCGGATCTTCTAAGCTCAACGATCACCGTACCGGACTTAGACTTGTTACACTCCCCTTGGCTATCACAACTATCTACACTACTCAACTCTAGCGGGCTACCTATAGTTACCATGGTGACCTATTATTCTTTCTAGGGTGGAACTTGGTGGCTTAGACTTGGATTTCATGTATCTCTAGGATTCTCGTGCCTAGTCTCACAAACCTATCGGGTTTGGAATTCTGGGCTCTGGATCCGCCGGTAATCATTTCGCAGGTCTAATTGCACGGTATTCTAGAGGTCCCCTAATCTAGGGTCTCATCTAACCTACTTAGTCACAAGCACCCTAATTTAAGCTCATAATTTCTTCCTATTCATCAAGAAAGATAACACAAGCAATCATCATGCATAAGAGTTATCATGCAGCAGTTCATGTGATATTAGAAAACATGCTCAACGGGAAGATAACGTCCATCTTTACCCAGAGCGCAGATTTCTCAAGTTTCCCATCCTACTCATGCATACATACTTTATCAGAATCTCAATCAAACAAATTTAATATACATTTCATATCTAGCTTTCCTTAATCATTCCATTTTCGTAGTTTCCATACAAATATACTAGGTCTAGCTAGCTAAGTTAATGGGTGGTAGCATGCATGCTCGTTCCTAGCGGTTCCTACAAGTATTGCTCATGGAAATCCAAATGGCTACTTACTTGGTTGACGCATGCCCTCCCGAGTTCGAGTTTTCTTGACGGAATGGATTCCAACAATTCTGGAATTTCCTTGACAGGTCCTAATTTAAATAATAATGGGGTCATCATCAAAATCGGATCGAAAAACAAGCAAATAGAGACCGAACGGAAAGAAAAACAGTGGCTCAAGCGCCCCCACGCATGTCACACGCTCCCTAGAGGTTTCTACGTACGCGTGCCCACGCGCGACTTCCCGAGCTGGTGCGGGTCAGGACGTCGGGTCGGGCGGTTCGCGTGCAGCGCGGGTTGAGCTGGCCGGATCCGCGTGCCTGACGTGTGTCCACTGCCGGGTGAGGACGCGCCTCACCAGCCGGTGATCGACAAGTGTCGATCACCGGTTCCGCCGCACTCCTCCGCACGTCAGCCGACGCGTGGTGGCTCTCCACCCTTTCTCCTGCGTTTTTTTTTTTCATTTTCCAGGCCTCTTTCACGTTTCGATCTATTTTCTTCCAATTTTTTTATCTTCTAATCTGTAATCCGATTCAATAAATTTTCTTCATGAACATTGTAGATCTCATATTCTACTCCTTCAAAATAATTTTTTTATATTTTTCTAATAGTCATAGATTTTAATATTTGAGTTCGAATTCGGAGAAAAACACGAGTTCTTACCGAAAATCATGTTTTCTTAAAACTTTGATTTGAACACCAATCTTGGCCGCCTTCACTTCGGAACTTAACCAGATAACGCTGTTGAGGGTAAGAGTCCAAAGATCAACACAAAACGTCGCTAACACACGAAAATCTTAATGACTTCTCTATCTATACACTCGTGGACTAACCTGAAGTTCTTGGACGTTTTGATGAAATAGGAAGGTGTGATTCGTGAGAGAACCTTGCCTTGAACTATTGTTGGTTTAGATTGAGGACTCGAATCTCCGGCGTCGATTCTGATCTGATCTCCTCCTCCTTCCTTAAAAACCCTAATCTTCTTTCCCTTTTGTTTCTTCTCTTTCTCTCCCCTCTTCTTTCTCTTTTCCGAATTATGACTCAACCAAATTAGACCCCTTAAGTAATAAGGACTAAATGACTAGTTTTCCCCTATCGTGACCCTCTTTTTTTTTTTTTTTTTAAACTCGGGCACTACAATTATTTATCTCACTCATCCTTTCAGGGGAAAGGAAATTAAATTTTATCTTCTTTCCTAAGGCTTTTGACTCTAACCCCTTTTCAGTTATTTTGAAAGAGTATAATTGAGTAATGAAAGGATTACCTATGATTAACTCTTGTCCTAAGTCCTTTACTAAATGGAAGGAATTTACGAAGCAAATTTCGTCATTACAAACATGGACTTTTGATAATTTGTAATTAATTTTGATTCTATTGTTGTTTGCACCTCTAAGGCCCTCAGTAGTTTTTTCAAAATACTTTGTAGGTATTAGGCCTTCTTGAATGCAATTTTGATCGGCTCCTGTATCTATGAGAGCCTTTAATGTGATTTTGAAATCATAAATTTTTAGGGTAACGAGAGTGTACCATTTTTGATATTGAGAAGTAGTGATAAATTTTTAGGGTAACGAGAGTGTACCATTATTGATATTGAGAAGTAGTGATGGCTCCTACAAAGGAACTTTGAAAATTATCTTCGTCCAGGTTCGATTGTGCCGTTTCCCTTTGTTCGGGCAGCCTTTCCTGAAGGTTGATGAGATTATTGGACCACTTAAGGCACATGAAGAAAGGTTGCAAGAGTTTGGAGAAAAAAATGAAACCCTTTCTCCTCACTCTTGTAGAATGGAAGGAACGAGAGAATGAAAAATCCTCAAAGAAAGAATGGAAGGATCAAGGAAGTTCCAGAGGAGGAAGGGGACGGGGTCGTGGAAGATGGAGAGGTCGTGGGAGAAGTGGGACACTTCGCATCAAAGTGTTCCACAAAAGACGAACAACTCAACTTGATAGAGATGCAAAAGGATGAGAAGTCTTCATTGCTGATGATAGAGGCGTGTGAAATTAAAACCACACATGACAAAGAGCCTGATTTTGTGATATTGAATGAAACTATAGTGTAGCCACCAGCCAATATTGGAGTTGAAAATTCCTGGTTCGTAGATACTAGAGAAAGCAACCACATGTCAAGAGAAAGGAGGGTGTTTCGTGAGCTTGACACATCTGTTGTTGGAAAGGTACGTTTCGGTGATAACACTGTAATAGACATTTGTGGTCGAGGAATAGTGCTCTTCAAATGCAAAATCGATGAGCACTTGATCTTATCACAAGTCTATTACATACCTAAACTAAGCATAAAGCAAGACTAGTGATGACGGGATATGTGCAACGACAAGGAGTTGATTTTGAGGAGGTTTTTGAGCCTGTGACTACACTGGACACTGTAAGATTTATTCTTACCCTCGCAGCTCAACACGGGTGGGAGATCCATCACTTGGACATCAAATCAGCATTCCTAAATGGTGACCTCCAAGAAAAAGTGTATATTGCCCAACCTGAAGGGTTCGTCATCAAAGCCGAAGAGCACCAAGTGTACAAGTTGTCAAAGGCCCTCTACGTTTTGCAGCAAGCACCGAGGGCATGGAGCATACGTCTAGACAAGATCTTAAAAGAGTCTAAACTTCATGAAGTGTTTACAAGAACAAGCAGTGTATACAAGAAATGATGAGGTTGAAACACTGATAAATTACTCATGTTATTTTCATTAATATTTTTTTTATTATATTATTACATTTAATATATATATAAACAAATATGTTGTCCACATTTTTTCAAGATAAATTAAAAAAAAATATATATATGTATATAATTTTTTTGTGGTTCAGGTTTCAGTTCTCTTTAGGGTCAGTATCAATTCCTATTCTTAGGATAGGTTTACATATCTTCCATAGTTTTTCAATCTAAAGTTGCTCCCTCCAAAACTTCCAAATTTATTTCTGGTAACAGACACACAACCTACATAGTTTCTTCAATCAAAAATTTTCTAAATCCTCCATGGTTCCATAGTTTCTTCCATCTAAACTTTCTAAAGCCTTCATGGTTGCTCTCTCCAAAACTTCCAAGTTTATTTCTTGTTCATGTGGGAGATGTTTATTATAGTGTGAGGAAATAGTTGTGAGTGACCAAATTGTAAATCTACTCCTTTAGAGAGTTGTGGTGTGTTTATACAAAATTCAGACATTTGTATCGATTTGATCCTGAAAAATTTAGACATTTGTATCGGTTTGATCCTGAGTCGTGGAAAGGATTGAGTTTGTTCTATAACTCGTAAAAAAGCGATGTAGCGGTTGGGCTCTGATATGAGGTAAGAGTCGAGGTTTATTCAAATTTCCAAGAAGCGTTTGGGGAGTAGAGTCAATCGAGTTTGACCGAACCACTATAAAACTACGCTGTTATATTTTCTAACTCTTTCCTATTTAATTTCAAATGTGTTGTTAAGTTTTATTGCCTGTTCTAAGTTTCTTTTATAATTGTTCATTGTTATTTCTTGAATTATTTTACTGTATTAATTATCATATTCTATTTATTTTTTAAAAAAATCATAATTAGAAAACTTTATCACGTTTAAATAATTTTATTGTTAAAAGCCTATTCACCCCTCTAGAATTGTCGTATCAATCCAACAATCGGAAGTCCAAGGTACTTGACTCATACTGGTCCAGACCTTTCATATGCTTTTGGAATAGTGAGTAGGTACATAGAAAAGTCCAATATGATGCATCATCAAGCGGTTGAGCACATTCTTCCCTATGTGAAGGGAACCACAAGCTATGGGTTAAAGTATCAAAGAGGGTGAGATCCTAAAGAACTAGTCGGTTTTACTAATAGTGATTTAGCTGGAGACATTGACGATAGAAAAAACACTGCAGGAATGACATCTTATCTTAATAAAAATTTGATCTCTTGGCAATCTCAGAAGTAGCGAACTGTGACACTATCTTCCTGTGAGGCCGAGTTCATCGCAGCAATTGTGAGCATCGTGCCAAGCATTGTGGCTGAGAAATTTGTTGAGCGAAGTGACTAGAGGTGAACTAAAGCCAGTAACTCTCTACATCGACCATAATTCTGTGATTGCAATGATGAAAGTCCATTATTTCACGGAAACAACAAATACATTGACACTCGCTTCCACTTCATCCATGAGGGTGTTAAGAAGAGACAAATTTTTGTGTAGTTCGTATGCATTAGAGAGCAACGAGAAGATATCCTAACCAAGGCCCTAGCAAGGGTTAAGTTTGTTAGGATCGCTCAACAATGCACACACTCGATCAAGATGAACACAAACAACAAAGGTTTTATTGATGAATTTAGATATGTACAACAATAGAGAATACAGAAAATATTGGCTAAAGGTTTTATTGATGAATTTAGATATGTACAACAACAGAGAATACAGAGCAAGAAAAGTATACAATACAGAGAGAGAATGAAGAAAAGAGAGAATGAAGAAAAGTGAAAGAAAAGTATATTTTGAGAGCACTAAGGGTATATATATGATTTCGATTTACTAAATATAAGTTTAACCCATATAATTTACTATGGTTTCGATTTACTAAATATAGGTTTAACCCATATATCAAATATTTACCATATATATATCTTTTATCATATGGGTAAGAAATATCTACCAAACATATATCTACTAGATCTTTGCTGTAAATAGGCATCAGGCTTCATATCCCAACAATCTCCCATTTGGAGAGCATCAGGCTTCATATCCCGACAATCTTCTATTTGGAGACTGATTCAAGTCAACCAAGAATTTCATTCTCAATCTTGCACCATAGCAATTGAGGCTCTGCACAACCTCAATGTTCCAACATCAACACAACATGTTTGCTGGATTCTTTGCACCCTCTATCTCCTTCAAAGACATCACCATCTTCCACTAACCTCCAAGTGAAATGGTATCACCTTCTGTGTTTTGTCTTTGAATGATAGACCGGGTTCCTTACCAACTGCATGACACTCTAACTATCAACCTGAAAAATCTTCTCGTGCTACTTCTTGCCTAATTCTTCTAGATAGTCTGTCATCCATATCATCTCCTTTCCAGCTTCAGCTATTGCCACATACTCAGCCTCAGCAGATGAAAGAGCAATGCATTTCTGAAGCCTAGCCATCCCATCATCCATGACTTGCTCTTACTTGATTGTTTCCTCCAACTGTAGGGTCTCATCAAGGGGTTCTTCTTCCCCTTTATCAGTCAGCAACAGATAGTGTAAAGAAGGTACATACCTATCTTGTACTCTGATAGCTCTGGATGATCTTTTCAACACCTGCTCAGGTGTCACTTGCTCCGCTTCTGGTTCCTCAGCAACAGTCTCCAAAGTTTCTTAAGTATCCGCTACAACATCACTAGGTGAATCTTTCAGCAACTCAATCTCAATTCCCACTTGTTTCGTTGTCCTGGTACTTTTCTTCAATTCTCTGACAGAATTTGTGAAGCTAACTCGTTTCTGTTTGCTCATAACTCTTTTCTTCAACAGATTTCAGACTTTCCAAAACTCCTTCCGCAGCAAGCATTTTCATTCCTTTAATGCTCATATGCCCAAGTTTATTATGTCACAGACTTGAATTTGAAGCACTATCAGCAAGAACAACTATGTTCATACACCCTTCAGTGGTGTATAAGGTTCAAGATTTTGTGTCACGTGCTACCACCATAGCACCCTTCACAATTTTCCATGAACTCTTCCCAAACATTTAATATATTAGATATATTAAATATAATGGAGAAAAATATATTAATTTGAAGGGTTCAAATTAATATTTAATATATTAGATATATTAAAAGAAAAATATATTTATTGTATTTGATACAATTAAATATTAAATCAATTAATGTATTTTGATACATTAAATAAAAATATATTTGAGATTGGAATGAGATTCAAATTAGTTAAATATAGATTAGGATATCTTATAATATCTAAATATGATTGGTATAAGATATTATATTCTAATATATTAAATATGCAAACATATCATTTGACAAAGATTCTCTAAGTGTCTCTATAAGTAGGACCATTGGGTTGAGCCGAAGACATACGAATCTCTCCCATTTTCTTTGGACAATGAAATTACATCTCTCGAGAATTTTTGAAACTCTCCTCTAATCCCTTTGGGATTTTCTTTCAAGAGGCTCTCACAAACCTTAAAC